CTTTCTTTTCCAACTACCAATACAGGGATTTGTTTGCACACGAAACAGAACTAAGTTTCACATGACTAACCACCTTATGAGCTTAATTTGAGGAGTTGTGTATGGTCCCACATGCATCATCAAGTATTTATGGCCTCGAACGTCTAGTTACTTTTTTTTGTATGTATCTTTAAAGCTACATATAAAGATAGATTGTTGTCGGACTAAATTAACCAAACAATACTCAATATGATATGAATTTGTCTGCTTTGAGTTATGCTTGTACAATTTTCTCAAAGATAGCCTCATGCCACTAGAGTATTTCTACACCTTATAGCCTCATGCCACTAGAGTATTTCTACACCTTATATATAATTTTATTTTTATTTTTATTTTCATGCTACTATTATGTAGGATACTTTATTCGTATACCCAACATACATCCTTAATAATTAAACTGGAAAGATTAACACCATATATTGTTTCAAGTTTGATATGACGGCCCGTATCGTATGTATCGCACAACAATATTTTGTTAAGATGGACACTGATGTGTCCGTGAAACAAACAATATATGCTGTAAAATATTTGCGATAGTGATTTTCAATTTTAAAAAGTTGTCTCTCTCATGTATATGAGATTTAGCCATTTATAAAAATATATAATAAATAAAAGTTCACCTATACATAGTACAATGATTTTTTTGGACGAGGGGATGCACTAAGAAAAACAAAATTTTGTAGACTCGATCAAGTCGCTTATAGAATTCTGATGACTATTTTCTTGATAAGTGAAGGAGAGAGGGAAGCTGCGCTTAGCGAACTTTATAAGGCCAATCACTACATAAATATAAATCTCGAAGAGCTTCCCTTCATAAATTACTAAGCCACCTAGATCTCCGAGACAACCTTACGACTTGGCAGGCTTGACTATTTTCTTGATAAGTGAAGGAGAGAGGGAAGCTACGCTTAGTTAGCGAGCTTTATAAGGCCAACCACTACACAAGCCGTTGACATAAATATAAATCTCGAAGAGCTTCCCTTCATGCATTACTAAGCCACCTAGATCTCCGAGTCAACCCTACGGCTTAGCAGGCTTACCTTTCAGCCGGAGTTTCATGGGCATTACCCCGTTCCCCAATCAGATGTTTGAATGTAAGCTATACTCCACAAGGAGTCAAGCGGGTGCACTATGGCCTTTCCTATTGAATCCCTTAAAATAAATGGGACATTTATTGGTAACTTGAAATAAATGGCAAGTAACCTTGTCCTAACTTGATAAAGTTAACAATTAAACTAAAAGGTTAGAAAACTAAGTTAATATTTCACACAGCCATAAATACTTGCAAAATCAACCTACTACTATCTTCTATTCCTAATTATAAGCTACTCATTGGCATTTGTCCTTGCAATGGCTTCAATGTCAGTAGTATTTGTACCTTTGCTCTCAATTTCCTTGGCTCCATCATAGGTAGCATGCAATCCTACAAGCAAGTAGTAAATGAGCAAAATCGCGGTGCAAACTGAAAATCTCACGAATGATGCACCATCAATCGAGCCCATGATGAACACATTAATAGCTATACTAGCAGATGGAAGCCATGGCATCAATGGTGTTCCCCACACCTTAGGCTTTCGCGCTTCCTTGAGTGTTAAATTTAACCCCAACGTGGTGAAAAACCAGACTCCAGCGCAAATTATGCACCCTAACCAAGTGTGCTCGCTGATTGCCCAGAAAACACCCGATCCAATTGAGGACAAAATGATCAAAACCAAGAACATGATGAGTTTGTTCCTATCCTTGTCCGGTGTTTCCCCTGACACGTAGTAACGTCTCACTAGAAGTGCTAGGGGAACCAGTGAGTACACGAACAACGTGGCAATTGAAACGAGGTTTGCCAATATGTCAAGACTTGTGAAGAAGGCTATTATGCAATTCGCGACAGTCATTACAACTGTAGCAGTGACAGGGGTCCCTGTCTTTTCATTGATTACAGAAAGAAATGGAGGGGCCATATGAGTTCTTGCAATGTGCGTAAAATACCTAGCTTGAGCAATAACATTGGCCAGCAAAACTGTTGTCATCCCTTTCAATGCCCCAAATGCAACTATGTACTTTGCCCAATTCATCCCTACAGCTTGAAAGGCAATGGTAAAAGGGGCATTAACATCCACTTGATTAAAAGGTTGCATAAGGCACAACGTTGCGGCTAGAAGGCAATATGTTATGATCACCACCACCATAGAACCTATTAGTCCCACAGGAATATCCCTACCTGCAGTAGCGAAGCAAGGAATTTTGTTAAGGGTGTTCACGATATATATATGTATGAGTATAGAACTTTCAGTATTTCCGGCTCGATCTGGTTACCTGGATTCTTGATCTCTTCCCCTAGAGTTGTGATACCATCAAATCCAACATAAGCAAAGAAGAGCATAGCTGATGCTTTCAGGACGCCACGGGCACCATAAGGTGCAAAGGGTGAAAAGTTAGCCAAATTAGCCTGAGTTAGGCCAACAACAAGTACAAAAACCATGACAGCAACATGTAGTATGGTCAAAATGGAGTTGAATCGCGAGGACCCTTTCATGCTGATGCAAGCACATGCACAAATGAGCAGTGAGACAACAACTGCTACAGGATCTAAGTGGTTGTAACCCTCAGCAAGACTCGAGACATTGATACGGAAATCATCAGGCTTGTGGTTACATAGAGTCGCGAAATAGGAAGTCCAGGATCGCGCTACGCTAGCACCAACCACAATGTACTCAAACAGAATGTTCCCTGCAGCAATGAAAGCGACGAAATCACCAAGTTCCACTCTCAGATACGCAAATGATCCACCAGCAACAGGGAGTTCAACTGAGAATTCTGTATAGCACAACACTGAAAGCAAAGCAGAGATGCCTGATATAGCATAAGACAGTAAAACAGCAGGGCCAGCTAAGCTTTTAGTAGCTTCACCAGTTAGTACAAAAACACCAGCACCCATAACTGCACCAATACCAAGCCAAATCAAATCAAACCAGTTCAACGACTTCTTCATCTGATGCTGGCTGCAATCGCGTATTTCATGGAGCTCTGATTGGTCCGAAGAACGAGACAATACGCGGTTTTTAAGCCTTGTTTTTGTCTCACGTAATGCCTGAGCATAACTTCCCCAGCTCGTAAACGATTCCTCTGGCAAAAAATCATTTTTGCTGCATCCACAGCCCCTCTTCGTCAGAGTACTATGCCTTTGATCAACATTTTCGTTATTGCTATTAATCATTTTCTCCTGCAAATTATGAATAAAACTAATGTCTTAATCAAAATTAGTTTGCTTTATAGGATTTGTTATCTGACCACTTAAGTACCAATATTTCCTTTGAATATCATATCAAACTTAATTCTATAAACAGAGGTATTGGGTTCGAGACGTGTCTACATCTCCCGAGTCTTTAAGCTTTAATTTTTGTAAAAAGGAATAACTTATTGAGCGATCACATAGATTTTTTTCAATACGTGCCACCTCCCACTTGCGAGAGGTACGGCTAAACAAATAAAAAGAATCACCTAGTGTTTTTTTGTCTCCGCAGTGGATCACATAGATGTTTAATTGATAAATAATCAACTCTCCACTTACAATGTATACAACAACCTACACATGCAATGTTGAGGATACTTAAGACCTATTTATCAATATATTTCAGAATTCACTGATAAATCAAACTGATTAATAATACATTCAAACAAGATAAATTTATGAAGAAAAGAAAAGATGATTGACAAAACCTGGATTCAATATGGTGTTCGTCTAATCTTCCTCAGGTTGTTAAAACCCTATGTATTAAGGATATTTGATTTTATCTATTTATAGCACTATGATTTTGTAAAAATAAAAGTTTGTTCCTCAACCAAAAAAAGAAATTATTAATGAATTGGTAGAGTTTAACTTTGTTAGGTATCATTCTTTAGTGAGAAATTATCATTTGTTTTTTTACTAACCCAAATTAAAAAATTTCCCTTTATTAAACTTCTTATCTAATACCAACTCTTTTAGAAAAAAAAAAATCTTCCAAGGATACGTACGTATGTTTTTTCTTAATTATTAGAATTAATCAAGATTGTGTGTTTAATTATTATACTTGAATATAACTTGCTTGAAGTGCTCTTGCTTCTATATCCTAAAATCTTAAGTACTAGAATTTAACTTCTATTTCCTTTATAGTAATACGAAGAATAAATCTACAAATTTTGAAAGTTGAAACCTTAATTAAATGTGTAATACGTTGAAGTCTGAACTGATTTTTATCACTTAATCATGGTTAAATGTTACTCCCTCCATCTCATATTAACTAATCACTTTCCTTTTATACACATTAAAAAATCATAAATAAGATAATTTTACTAATCTACTCCTTAAAAAGCTTGTTAAGAATTTTACAAACAAATATGAACGCTTTCAAAAAGTATTGCTACTTCTGTCCACTTTTAATTGTCATGTTGCGCTTTTCAAAAATCAATTTGACTAATTTTCAAAGTTAAATTAGATTACATTAATTCGATATTTTAAACAAAAAATTTAGATATTCAAAAACTATACGAAAAGTACTAGAAATTACATTTTTTTGCATATCAATATGATGAAAAAATAGGTCTTGAAATGTTAATCATAGTTTGTATAATTTGACTCTAAAAAAAGAAAACCATGACAAATAAAAGTGGACAAAGAGAGTAATTGCAAGAGTAATATATGAAAAAATTAATTAATATTTTCTTGATTTAGTAAGGTGGACAAATATTTTTAGTAAGATAATCAACTAATATGGGACGAAGGGTGTATATACTGTCACTTTAATATGTGACTTATAATTAAACGTTACGATTCACAGAGTGCAATAAACTTTCCTGTAATACCTAGTAAAGTTTCCCATAATCACATTGTCATGTATTGTACATTGCACACAAAACGCATCTTGCTAGAAATGCTGAAGTTGAACGTTCAATATAAAGAAATGACACTAAATATTTTTGTGAAATATCAAACACAAATCGGTGTTTCTTTGTATTTTCATGCACAAGGGTATGTCGTATTTACATAGACAATACCAAGCTAACTTACATAGGCACAATAAGAAACAAATGGAAGAAGCAAAATGCATAGCCAGATGAAACTCAATACCACACCAGAAAACAGAAACAAAAACCAACACCAAACTACTGGAGTTAGAGACAGAAAAAGACCAACTAATGTACAAAACAAGGAACATGATATGACGCTAGGTCTCTATCTTGAGAAGGGAATTGAGTGAGGTGCTGTTAAACCTCTGTGCAAGACCTCGGATGACAAGGACGACAATATCACGGAGGTGCCGAGTCTGTACCAGCAAATCCACTTCACTCTCACTGTCCACCACAATCCTCAGCCGGTGTTGATCATTTCGGAACAGCTCCACCTGTACAATGGCATGGATGAAGAGTTAATCTTAAACTCCGACCATTATGCCTTAAATTTCATAGAACAACCTATTTGAGTACATTCTAGATTGGAAACAAACTTTACTGTAATTTATTGAACTAGCATATGGACCTTTTACTTCCTTTTTTTGGTACTGGGGGTCTTACGACCATCTTTTGCGCATCATGAATTATTCTACTAGTCACCAGCACAGGTGTCAGATAACTTGTACACTACTCAAGACTCGAGCAGATGTGAAGAAACAACCTAGTGCTTTTCATCTCTACTGGAATTTGAACTTTACTCTTTAAGGTTTGCACCCACTACAGTGACCTAACTAGGTCATACTCTTGAGTGCTATCTGAACACCTTTACCACTGAATCACTTATAGAACATAATCTTTCTAATGAGAACAGCATATATCTAAGGTTTTCTGAATGAAAGATGTGAGCCTCTTCAACAGTGATGTTAGTGCCCAATTAGATAAATCCAGGCTATGCTCATCAGTTCTCTGATTTTTTTATAGGAGAACCATGCAACATCAGTTACATACATAAGACTCTCATAAAATACTATGGATAACATCTGATAGAGTAATTGTTTTATGGCGAAAAGTTTAAAAAAAAAAAAAAAAAAAAAAAAAACCTTCTACAAGTGCATGTGTTCTCAATCCATTAGGGTTCAATAGCAGCTTGCTGCCAGAGGAAACGTTCAGGAAAACCCAGAGGCACCTCGAACATTCTAGATCTGCCCAAGCCTGTAAAATTACACTGCCCGCGGACTAACAGGCAGACTGATTTTACCACTCTAGTATGGATATTTAGGACACCATAATAGGGTACTACGCCATGCTCATGAATCAAGTAACCACAAGTCTGAATGAGCAATAGTGAAGGTATAGCATCCAAGAGAATATCCTAGTGCGGTTTAGTTAGTTTGTAGTGTCTTGCCACGCCAACGTTGTATGAGAACATATATCAACAAAAAATTGTTTTCCCACACTCCAAAATCATCTCTACTAGCTCCCTTCTTCACATAATCATACCATGCTTATGCTCAAGCCATATTTTGAGTTAAGTCTGAGCCTAGCATCTCTAAAGAGGATAGTAGGGCTAGGTAACATATGTGATTCTCGAACAATTCTACTATCATGAAAAAGTGGTAGAGAAATGGGTTGAGGAAGCTGTTGAGATAAAAATATTAAGAGGCTAATTGTAACTAGTTCAATAGAAGCTTCTACTACTTAACAGTTTGTTACAAGTCAAAAGCTTATAGTTATAGTTAGCTTGTTGAGATCAAGAGAAGTCGGTTAGTGAAAATGTAATTAGTATATATACTAGGCTCATATCTCTTTGTAAATACAAGTTGTTACTCAAATTTTAATTAAGTCATCTTCTTCCTCTATCTTCTTCTTCTACATTTTCTTTATTGTTTCATCAATTTACTAATTTCAGTAAATACCTTCGGAGGCATATGTCCAAACATATATTTCAAACAGAAATCGGGAGTCAGATATAGATTTACTTACGTGGAATGGAGGGGCATATGTTCCTCGAACCTCAGTTGTGGGAAAAGAAGTCTTAGAACCAGGCTTCACCACCTTTACCCTCTTTTTGTTGACTTCCAGAATTCTTCTTTCAAGATTCCCCATACCTGGAACCTGCAAAGTTGTAACTATAATTAGTTTATCCCTCATCTTTCTTACATATGATTTGGAAACTGAAATTGAAAAATGAACTAAAAGACACTAACTTTCTTTGTAGATTGATCCTTGTCACACAAGGCCTGCATTAATGACATCAAGTAATTTATGTTAACACACTGAAAATAACAGCACACGCCATACGGGGAAATAATATCATGCTAGGGCTGGGAGAAGATGTAAACAGGAATAAAATACTGAATAAGTAAATATATATATATTGCTGCAAACATAAACAACTGATGATGAGATGTGATACCAAACTAATTTAAATTCCAGAGATGCAGCCTAATGCAAGATGTGAGCCAATCTTATTTGAATTCAAAAGGTGCTAAAACAAACAGACAGCGAGATTGTATTTCTCCAGAGCCTCTCCACTTCAATGCCTTACTGAAAAACTAGATACGCTCAAGCAATTACAAATTTTTCATCAGATAATATCATTGCTTTGGACAATCTACAGCATATTTGATTAGGGAACTTGAATCCCTTTGCTCACAAGCAGATGTTTGAATTTTGATGGTTACATTCATCTTTAGCAACTTAAACATCCTTTAATGACCTTATACAGGCTTTATCACAACCCCCGCCCTACTTTTATCATTTTCCCTTGTGATTTTTGTTTTATGTTAGAGAGCAGAGATATATTTCACAATACCAATTTTAGAATACAAGCTTGACATGCACTGTTAAATAATTAATTTTACCCTATCTAAAGGCTGAAGCTACTCCCAAGGAGACATTCATTTACTTTTATAGAATGATTAATACCTATTTTAAGACTTTTAACTATAGTGTGATAGCTAGTGAACCACAAACAACTTTCATTAAATTAAATCCCAAACTTTCAAACGATTCGTATGGATTTATGTTAAAACAAGGTGTTGTAGGGAAGTTCAAAAGGTGAAAAAGGAGTCATCACACACAACAAGATCTGGGAAATTATTTCAAGAGATGTAACACCTCAAACTTTACGGAACCAGTCTCAAGCTTCTGCTTTACTTCTTTAAGAACATCAGGCTCTGCAATGAGGAAAAGAAAAGGAGAATAAAGACAAACATGAACAGTTGAATAAGAAGAAACAAAGACACCAATGTGAAAGAAAAAATATCTCAGTATCAAGCTTTACACGCATAATAACCAACTGTTAGCAATCTACCTTACATACATATGTAGAGGTAGCCCAAAATCATTAAGAAAATAACGAAAAGAGCAAACAAATGATTTCATTTTCCGTTGAAATATTTTTCTTCCCTCCATTGTTCTATAGGTTTTGATTTTACCAATGTCCACCCAGACACTGGAGTTAAACTTGATGAGAATGATCAAGGTTATATTGGTAATACTGCCAATTTAGAAACTTAAACTGCAAGAATGAATGGTGGACTGCTTAATATCAAGATGGCTTCTATGGAACAAAAAGTGAACGGAAGAGTCAGTATAGTGATTTACATGCTAATACACCAAAGTGTCCGAAGATTCACTTATCCAGGACTGGAGCAACAATACCAAATAGACATTTGATGAATTTTTTTCACTTCTTGGAGAACTTAGTGGATCCTTATAAAGTCAAAGTTGCTTGTATACCATGTAATCCTACCTGTTTTACCAATAATATTTCTTACACCTAAAGTACATGTTCAATATGTGTCAACAGAACAAAGAGAATCTGCCAGATCTCATGTACTTCAATGGGAGAAGAGTATTTGATTAACAAGCTTGCACAGGTTCAGCAAGAAAAATGTTACTTATGTGATTGGAAAAGTCAAGTATTTACAGCTATCACCCATCATCATAAACTTATGCTAATTAGAATTATATTCAAGACACAAAAATAGATGGAAAGATACAGGAATGATAACTACACTCGTAAAAGACAAAGAAACTGATGTTACCTTTATCAACAAAAAAAGCCAAAGAAACTAAAATCAGCTAATAAAAGAATTCCTTATAAAATTAACAATCAATAAAAAATAACTCATCGTAAAATTACTGTATGAATGTTCTTCACGATTATTTACCAATTGCAATTGGATCTGTAGAAGCAGAAACAGGATGCCCCTCAACTCCGTCTTCTCTTACTGGTGTATATATCACAACCAGCCTATAGCCCACGTCATCAACATTAGCTTCATACATTCTTCCTGTCTCCCCTGCAACAAAACCATCTTTTAGAAAGTTCCTATCAATTTTTCATGGTGCTATGCATAGATGAGATTTCCAAATATAAAGGACAAAATATATAAATGTTCAAGAACTGGTTCACCCATTATTTGGTTTTGAAACAACAGTTTCCTACACCAAAGGTTTAATCGCTTGAAAGGCGACAAGGTAATAGTCGAATAGATTGGTAGTTTGAATCTTGTCTAATAGATATGAGCTATTTTCTTGTTACCCTCTCCAATAGATAGATAGTTTGAATCTTTGAATCTTGTCTAATAGATATGAGCTATTTTCTTGTTACCCTCTTCTGATGCTTACTTTCTCAGTAAACTCTGCCGCAAGTGAAACAGATGCAGTGGACCTCGTAAATAATACAGCGAAGTACTAAATTAAATATAATTTGTTATCAACCCCCTTCAATGCTTTTCTTGTTCTTATTGGGTGATCAATGGGGATTTATACTTGGAAACAAACAGATATAAAAGATGAACCTCCATCGAATACCTTAAGGGGTCGTTTGGTACAAAGATCAATAATGCAGGGATTAGTAATGCATGGATTGGTAATGCATGGATTAGTAATGCAGGGATTATTTTTATCAAGTGTTTGGTTCATTGCTTCTCACCTAGTTTTGTGTGCGGTTTAAAGCTCTACAAAAATAATTCTTTCCAATTATACCCTTGAGTTATTATGGGGATTTTCTATTTCATGTAGTTGGGTCAAGGTAGATAATTGAAGGACAATATTATTTTTTATAGCATTTTAACTAGCTAGGAGAATAAAAAATTTATTGCCATGTTAACTATTTTCTCACTTAAATTATTTGAGGGTAAATAATTGTCATCTTAATAAATTGGTGTTAATATCTCAAAAGGTCACACAACTATAATAATTTATAGAGAAAATTTATTAAACTTTGTTTTGTATCAATAAATTAAAAAAAAACACTCTTTATCATAAAATAAAATAAAAATAGCAAAATAAATTAAACTATTTTTATACTCGAGATGTTTTTTTTTAAAATTATTTTGAAAATTGATTAGATTCTTATGGAGGAAACGATCATCATCGTATAAAATTAAATTATTTGGTCAAATTTGAATTATTTTTATTTTTATTTTTTTTAGTGTAATAGTTTCTTAACTAATATATAAAACTATTACCTGAAAGAAAAATTCATTTGAAGTAAGTAGAAACTCAATTTTAATGCATTGTTTAACTTGTATTTCTGATCTCTTTCATGAGTGGATTTCCATGATTTCTACGGATGCTACTTGGTCACCAGGTCCAAGTTGTGTAAATGAAGATAATAATCTATCTTTAGGCAATACAAACATATATATATGCTCTTGTGTTTAGATTACTTGTGTATAATGTTTCAATGGACTTTCGTTAAGAGGCAATATTTGACTTATGAATTGTTCTTAAATTCATACATCAACATTAGCATATTAGTCGGATTAAAATATTTTATATTAATAATAAATAGATTAAATAACTCACATTTTAGCAACAAAATTTTTTGTCTAAATAATAAAATTCGTAAGCTAATTTATTTAAATAAATTTATTAGTATAAATATAAAACATAAAATCAAGAAAATAAACAAAATGATTAAAAGGATTTGAGGGTTATTTTTGTCTTTACCTAGATTAGTCCCATGGTATTAGATCTCATGTATTACTAATACCACCAAATGGAAGGTATTAGTTATACACCCTATAATACCATGTAGGGTGTATAACTAATCCAAGGATTAGTAATACATAGACCCAAAATTCCTACCAAACATAGTACTAAATAATACCACACATAATACTTGGACTATTTCTCCTAATACTCCCTACGACCCCTAAGAGTTATAAAAAGTTCAAATTTACAGAGCTCCAGCAAGATGTATAGCATTGGGAAGGTGTAAAATTTTAGTTCCCTTAACACTTCAGATCATAGTAAGGATCAGAGGAACCTTGCTGTCGAAGCATTAAATATTTGCATCTGAACAACTTGCTTCTCCCTTTACTCTTAAGACAGCAAAACTTTTTCTTTTTATTATTTCTGTTTGGACACAACTGAGTGGAAAGAAGACATGTTGTAAAACATCCTGCACCAAGGAAAATCTCCTTGTTCACACACTATCTATCATGAGAATCAGACAGTTTCAGCGACACTAATCATTTTTTTTAATGAAGTAGGGTTTTGTATAGCTGGCATCAACCAAATGCAAAGTTATAAAAGATATGTTAGCTCCTACAACAGTAATGGAAATGAGCTAAGAAACCAAAATCAGATGGAACATTTTTTTAGCATACCAGGAATGGAGATGAGGTCAGGACTTCCAACCATAGATCTAAGCCACTGAATTTTACTTTTGCCCTCCTTTCCGCCACTATAAACGCCACGAACAGCATACAGATTGGTGTGAAAACCTCTACCTTCAATGTCCAGCTTATCCATCCGAGGGATACCTGAGAAGAAGCAGATTCATAAATAAACTTCTATAAATAGAATTATATAAAACTTTTAAAATTACCCAACAGAACACATGATTGATATGCCAGCGAACAAGTTAGGTTATTCAATTTGTCAAAAGAAATATAAGAATTATTTCAAGATATATTAAAGCTAAGACGTCAACAAGGAAGAATATCCTTGGTCTGCAGAGGGGAGGGAAACACATACAAGGATGAGCCGGTCACAAGGGGGGAAGTATCAAGTAGAGGACAACAGCAAATTTAATGTTGGCCCGATTAGGCTAAATTTTACTTATCCAGAAATATATGAGTAAAAGGAATGAAAGAAATTCAATGAGCTAAAACTAAGTTGGAAGTATCTGCCTGGCAATAATCAAAAAGACTCCAGCAGCCAGCAGCACGAAAGATAGTATTCAATATTCATAATGGCATACAAGAAAGCTGCAAAAGAATTACTAAAATGGCATGTCAATTTTAGGCTCTGCCTTAGGCATTAACAAATTTCCTCTAACAGAGTGAAACAAATAAGAAATCAATCATAAGTTGCTGATATTTTAGGAGGACTTTCCCAGGCATATTGAACTAACTGTGAGAAGCACACAAGCCTTGTAGGAAATGGAATGCTGGCAAGAAATGTAACCAATCCAAAATCGAACAGTATGCTTGGCTTACACAAAAGGGAGGAGAAGGGTAAAAGGTAGACCAACTCATTGATTTCCTTACATCCGTTGGATAAAGCATGGATCATTTACGTTTTGGTTGTTTGGAGTGGGAAGGAAGTTAAAGAAAAGGATGTACTTCCTCCTTTTTGTCTAAATCATAAGGGAATGAAAAGCATGACCTTCCACTTTTACTTGCCCACTTTTCCTCTTCTCAAACTAACCAAAGACAATACATGGTGACAGTGAGTGACTGCACTTTTTTGACCATACACCTGATACAAACACTGACCACAACCAAATTTTAAAATAAAAGAAAGAAACAAAGGAAACCCAAAATACAATCTGCTACAAATTCATGTCAAGAGAGGAATGTCAGTTCGGGACACTCCACACACGGCAACAATCAGGTATGTTTTACCCATCTCAGAATTATGGTTATCTTTAAGTATATACAAGTGGAAACAAGATTAGAATTTAGAGCTACAAGACCTGGTGAAACTGAAGGAGTTTCAGCATATACTGGATCACTTGACCTTCCAAAAACATCAGACACGATGCATTCACATCTAAGAGAGCGACCTATGTCCTCAAATCGTAACCTGTATGAGCAAGAACGTTGTGATGGTAATGGCTCAAAGGACTTATTATTTCCTGTTTCAGTCGAAATGAACCTGCAGCAGCCAATAAAATATCAGAAGCTTCTCAATATACTCTACAATAGAACCTCCAGAAGCAATGCAGTCTTCGGATTATGCTAGATGATTCAATTGCAGTTTGCAATCTTGGATGCAGTAAATTATACATAAGAGTCAAGAAGTAAATCATATCAAGATAACACCAACTATATGTGCTTCCATATATCCAGATATTTAACCAACTAACCCAAAATTATTTCCAGAGATCCAGATATAGAACCAATATCATTCATGAAATACGAGCAGTTTTTGGTTCCTTTTTCTCCGAATATAGGAAAAGTAGCAAGTGTGGCAAGAGAAATCATCTCTATATTATCACTGTCTAACTTGACATGAAATAATATCTAGTAAAGAATAATCAGCCATTAAGGAAAAACAGTTGATTCCCAGCATATCAAATGATGAAAACAGAGAAGTACCAAGTATATTTGATATCCTTCCTATACTTTGCCCATACACGCTCTTGAATTTCACTCTTTGGAATAATTTCAACAGCAGTTAGTATGTCTCCTTCAACAGCCTTCCCAGTAAGAGCCAGCGTCTCAATTCTTGGAATATCTGTGGACATAGCGTAACTGTCAGAAAATGACCTTGGTAAACTTTTCACAATTATTGAAAAGGACAGTGTTCTAGATAGTGAATGGAAAAATTCTAAATGAAGAATGCTCTACAGAGAAGCAAAACCACTAAGGAATATTTGCTGAGCTGAACATTTGACAGATAATCAAAAGGTTGGACTGTTGGAATTGTAGTAGAAGATTGAAAAACTCTTCTTTTCTGTTAGATTGTCCCACGTTGATTGAGGGAACTGTTGTTGTCTCCTTATATGGTATTCGCGATACTCACCTCATTGTATTCACAATTGTCTGCGATGAGTTTTTATATTTTTTTCAAAACAATAAATATGACTTACTTTTATAGAGCTAGACTTTGCAAGTAAATAGATTTTTCGCTTTACTGCTCTAGCCTTTAGACATCCTCACTTGGTGACTAGTGTGCCTTTGTGTTTGTAAAAGGGAAAAAGAAAAAGGAAAGGAAAAACCAGATTTCATCACTCTGGTGAAATAAGGGGGGAAAAAGGAGAGGCAAAAAGAAATATATAAGTAAAGGAAGAGAAGAATCAGCCATGAATGAAGAAAAGGGCTAAAAGAAGATCTAACCATAAAAAAAGTTCATCAAACAAGAGTGGTACCCTGAATGCAGAGGTAGTTGCACCTCCTACTTCTGTCTGTTAACCACTGCACCATTTGTCGATTGAAGATCATGGGTGCTCACTAATTTAGATATCCATCTTTTCACTAATTACCTAGTTACCTATAATAAAATCTAAAGTTTAAATTGGAAAATGTGAGTTCTTGGGCACCTAATGGTAACCACGTGGGTTCACCACCACTGAGAAGAGACTTGATTAACCAACAATGTACAAGAGGGATACTCAGAGGAGTTTTAGTCTACATACAATATGATAGATAAATTTTCTATGTTGTCTAATAACATAGCAAATACTCTATACTTGAATAGTGAATATCCAAACATATCCTATAGAGTTTAGACTACAATAATATTTTATTTTATTTTGAGAATGGTAAAGTTGTATTCATCAGCAATGAGGGTATGCTGGCAACCAAACAAAAAAAAACATTCAAAGGCCAAGTAGTCATGATTACAAAGAGCCTATGAAATCTACTAACTGATCTACTTCATATATACCCTCTTCTTTACACCAAAAATATAGAGTATTAATGCAGTTTTCTTTAACTTTCTGCATTGGGTTAGTAATATTCTTAAAGCACCTATTGTTTCTTTCCTTCCAAATTGACCACCATATGCAAGATGGAACTAGATTCCACCATTTTTTCTGTGTTTTACTCCCCCCTCTTCTCATCCAACAGTTTAGTAGGTCAGCAGTATGCTCAGGCACCACCCAAGGATCTTGAATAATGCTTTGGAGCATATACCATATCTGGGAAGTCACTCTACAATGAAGGAACAAATGATTGTTTGTTTCCTCCTTCTCATGGCAAAAGAAGCACCTAGAAACAATCTGAAATCCTCTTTTTTTCAGTCTCTCCTGAGTCAGACA